TTGTTTGTTGTGTTGTGTGGGGTCATCTTGTGTTATCTCTTGTGCTTTATTGTTGTTGTGTTGTGTTGTGTTGTGTTGTGTTGTGTTGTGTGGGGGTCATCTTGTGTTATCTTGTGCTTTATTGTTGTTGTGTTGTGTTGTGTTGTGTGTTGTGTTGTGTTGTGTAGGGTCATCTTGTGTTATCTTGTGCTTTATTTTTGTTGTGTTGTGTTGTGTTGTGTTGTGTTGTGTTGTGTTGTGTGTCTTGTGTTATCTTGTGCTTTATTGTTGTTGTGTTGTGTTGTGTTGTGTGGGGTCATCTTGTGTTCTCTTATGCTTTATTTTGTTGTGTTGTGTTGTGTTGTGTTGTGTGGGGGTCATCTTGTGTTCTCTTGTGCTTTATTGTTGTTGTGTTGTGTTGTGTTGTGTTGTGTTGTGTGGGGTCATCTTGTGTTCTCTTGTGCTTTATTGTTGTTGTGTTGTGTTGTGTTGTGTTGTGTTGTGTTGTGTTGTGTGGGGTCATCTTGTGTTCTCTTATGCTTTATTGTTGTTGTGTTGTGTTGTGTTGTGTTGTGTGGGGGGTCATCTTGTGTTCTCTTGTGCTTTATTGTTGTTGTGTTGTGTTGTGTTGTGTGGGGTCATGTGTTCTCTTGTGCTATTGTTGTTGTGTTGTGTTGTGTTGTGTTGTGTTGTTGTGTTGTGTGAGGTCATCTTGTGTTCTCTTATGCTTTATTGTTGTTGTGTTGTGTTGTGTTGTGTTGTGTGGGGTCATCTTGTGTTCTCTTGTGCTTTATTGTTGTTGTGTTGTTTGTGTTGTGTGGGGGTATCTGTGTTCTCTTGTGCTTTATTGTTGTTGTGTTGTGTTGTGTTGTGTTGTGTGGGGGTCATCTTGTGTTCTCTTGTGCTTTATTATTGTTGTTGTGTTGTGTTGTGTGTTGTGTGGGGTCATCTTGTGTTCTCTTGTGCTTTATTGTTGTTGTGTTGTGTTGTGTTGTGTTGTGTTGTGTTGTGTGTTGTGTGGGGTCATCTTGTGTTCTCTTATGCTTTTGTTGTTGTGTTGTGTTGTGTTGTGTTGTGTGGGGGTCATCTTGTGTTCTCTTGTGCTTTATTGTTGTTGTGTTGTGTTGTGTTGTGTTGTGTTGGTTGTGTTGTGTGGGGTCATCTTGTGTTCTCTTATGCTTTATTGTTGTTGTGTTGTGTTGTGTTGTGTTGTGTGGGGTCATCTTGTGTTCTCTTGTGCTATTGTTGTTGTGTTGTGTTGTGTTGTGTTGTGTTTGTGGGGTCATCTTGTGTTCTCTTATGCTTTATTGTTGTTGTGTTGTGTTGTGTTGTGTGGGGGTCATCTTGTGTTCTCTTGTGCTTTATTGTTGTTGTGTTGTGTTGTGTTGTGTTGTGTTGTGTTGTGTTGTGTTGTGTTGTGTTGTGTTGTGTTGTGCTGTATTGCTGTTGTGTTGTGTTGTGTTGTGCTGTGTTGTGCTGTATTACTGTTGTGTTGTGTTGTGTTGTGTTGTGTTACACAGTATAGAACACAAAATACGAGACAAACAGGACAGTGTTGGCCACATCAAGGGTACTTCATCATACACACACGATGATCACTTTGTTTTTCCCGTGTGTGTGTGTGTGTGTGTGTGTGTGTGTGTGTGTGTGTGTGTGTGTGTGTGTGTGTGTGTGTGTGTGTGTGTGTGGGCCGTCGGACCACACGCAAAATCTACATTATCTTAATTTTATAAGGTTAGGTTAGGTTAGGTTAGGTTAGGTTAGGTTAGGTTAGGTTAGGTTGGGTTAGGCTGGGCTGGGTTAGGCTAGGCTAGGCTAGGTTAGAGTTAAGCTAGGCTAGGCTAGGTTAGTAGGCTAGGTTAGGCCTAAGCTAGTTGGAGTTAGGCTGAGCTAGGCTGAGCTAGAGCCAGGTTAGGCTAGGCTGGGTTGAGGCTAGGCTAGGTGGGAGTTAGGCTAGGCTAGCTGAGTTGGGTTAGGCTGAGCTGAGCTGGACAGAGCTAGGCTGAGCTAGGCTAACTGAGCTAGAATTAGGCTGAGCTAGGCTGGGTTGGAGTTAAGCTGAGCTGGTTTAACTAGGCTAGGTTGGGTTAGGCTGAGCTAGCTGGGCTAGGTTGAGCTAGGCTGAGCTAGGTTAGGCTAAGCTAGGTTGGGTTGAGCTAGGCTAGGCTAGGTTAGGATAGCTAGGCTAGGTTGAGCTAAGCTAGGCTAGAGCTGAGCTGGGTTAGCTGAAGCTAGGCAGGCTAGGCTGGAATTGAGCTAAGCTTAGGCTGAGCTGGAATTGGGATTGAGCTAGGCTGAGCTAGAACCAGGTTAAGCTAGGCTGGGTTGGGCTAGGCTAGATTGGGCAGCTAGGCTAAGCTGGGTTGAACAGAGCTAGGCTGAGGCTAGATTAGACTGAGCTAAAGTTGGAGTTAGGCTAGGCTGGAGCTGGTTAGGTTAAGCTAGTTAGGTTCGGCTGGGTTAGGTTGGGTTAGGCTAGTACGCTGGTGGTAAAGTCTTAATCATCATGGATTCAGCCACTGTCAACAACAACAACAATGGCCGTCTATCATGAAGGAGAAGATTGAGGAGAGGTTGGTGGGGGGGTTGTCTACATGTCCATCCCTCCCTACCCTCCCCTCCTCCACCCTCCCTCCCCTCCTCCTCTACCCTCCCTACCCTCCCTTACCGTCCCCTCCTCCACCCTCCCCTCCACCCTCCCACCTCCACCCTCCCCTACCCTCCCTCCCTACCCTCCCCCACCCTCCCCCGTTTCCCTCCCCTCCTCCACCCTCCCTCTCCCTCCCCTACCCCCCTCACCTCCCCCCCTCCTCCACTTTAGAGCAACAATTAACGCCCACTTTAACTCATGACAGGTAAAGTTAGGTTTTTATTTCGTCTTATTCAACACACACACACACACACACACACACACACACACCACCACCTCCTCTTCCTTCCTGTGTTATTCCTCTGCTTCTTCTTCTTCTCTCCTCCTCTCTTCTTCCTTCTCTTCTTCCTCCTCCTCCTGTTTCTTGTTTTATGAATAGGCAGGGGCGACATAACTCTTGGTAGGGAAAAGTTCATTTTTTTGTTGGTAGCGTTGAATATCCACTTTCCTCCTCCTCCTCCTCCCCTCCTCCTCCTCCTCCTCCTCCTCCTCCTCCTCCTCCCTCCCTCCTCCTCATCCTCCTCCTCCTCCTCATCCTCATCCTCCTCCTCTTCGTCTTCCTCTTTCTCCTTATTTCCCTTTCCTGTTTTTTCATATACGTTAACCTCCCTTCTCTTCTTCTCTTTCCTCTTCCTACTTCTTCTTCTTCTTCCCCTTCTAATTATTGTGCTTCTCTTCCTCTTTGTCTTCTTCTTCATTCTATTTTCTCTCTTCTACTTCTTCTTTCTCCTCCTCCTCCTCCTCCTCCTCCTCCTCCTCTAGGTTTTATGAATGGGCGGGGCAACTTAACCCCGTGCTGGGGAAGGTGGAGTTTTTTGTGCCTTTCTGGTCGATCTCTGGGAAGGTTTTTCAGTAGTGTCGCTGGCTGCCGAGACACACACACACACACACACACACACACACACACACACACACACACACACCTTCCCTTTACTGGAGGTGTGAGAACGTAACACAAAGATGATTTGTTAACTAATTTATAAAGTATTTTCTTCTTAAGTGAGCCAATTAGATACGTTCTTACTTCACCAGTTAAGAGGGAAAAATGTCACTTACTAATGAATGTAGTTATTTAAGTGAGCCAGTTAGATACATTCTCACTTCACCAATCACTTCACAAGTCACTTCACCAGTCACTTCACCAGTCACTTCACCAGTCTACAATACTACTTCATGAGGATCCATCTCTGTGCCGTATTCTAAGTGAACCAGTTAAGTACAGGTTCATAGCTTCACTTAAATGAACCCCATAAGATTCATTCTCACAGCCCTGGTTAAGTGAATTCATTAGATGCTCTCTCACATCTTAAGTCACGTGGGGGAAATTAAATGAGAGGTCGGGAGGCGCTAGGAAGTATTGGGAGGCGCAAGGAGGTATTGAGAGGTGCTAGGAGGTATTGGGAGGTGCTAGGAGGTATTGGGAGATACGAGTAGGTACTGGGAGATGATAGGAGGTATTGGGAGGCGCTAGGAGGTACTGGGAGGCGTTAGGAGGGACTGGGAGGTATTGGGTGGCGCTAGGAGGTATTGAGAGGTGCTAGAAGGTACTGGGAGGTGATAGGAGGTACTGGGGGGCGCTAGGAGGTACTAGGAGGCGCTAGAAATTACTGGAAGACGTTAGGAGGTACTGGGAGGCGCTAGAAGGTACTGGGGGTGCTAGGAGGTACTGGGAGGCGCTAGAAGGTACTAGAAGACGCCAGGAGGTACTGGAAGGTGCTAGAAGGTACTGGGAGGCTAGTGGAGTGCTGGGGGGAAAAATCAGAAGGTGCTGAAGACGCTAGGAGGTACTGGGAGGTGCTAGTGAGTGCTGGAAGACCTTTAGGAGGAGACACTGGAAGACGTTAGGGTACTGGGAGGCGCTAATAGGTGCTGGGGGACGCTAGGAGGGTGCTGGAAGACGCTGGGAGGTGCTGGAAGACGTTGGGAGGGTACTGGGGAGGCCTTATGGGTACTGAGGGGACGCTAGGAGGTACTGGGAGGCGCTAATAGGTACTGGGGGACGCTAGGAGGTACTGGAAGACGCTAGGAGGTACTGGAAGACGTTAGGAGGTATTGAGAGGCGCTAGGAGGTACTGGGAGGATCTAGGAGGTACTGAGAGGCGCTAGAAGGTACTGGAAGACGCTAGGAGGTACTGGGAGCCCTAAGAGGTACTGGACACAAGCAGAATAATGGATACTGTGGATAAGTTAATGGAAGGTACTGGACGCTGGGCAGGCGATGGACACAGGTAGGCGATGGACACAGGCAGGCGATGGTTACAGGCAGACGAAGGACAAAGGCAGGCGATGGACACAGGCAGGCGATGGACACAGGCAGGCGATGGACACTGAGGGAAAATGAGTAATGCTTGAAGCCTTAATGGTCCCTCAGTCGTCAGCCGTCAGCCGTCAGTCGTCAGCCGTCAGCCGTCAGCCGTCAGTCGTCAGCCGTCAGCCGTCAGCCGTCAGCCGTCAGCAACAAGAAATGTACTCCCACACTTACTCTTGTCTTCTCATCGCTTGTATTCTCTCTTTCTCCTCCAAATGGCGCAGTTCCTCAAGGCTCAGTCCTCGTTCCTACTGTTTTTGTTTACTGTCCGTGTGGCCTCACTCTTTACACACACACACACACACACACACACACACACACACACACACACACACACACACACACACACACACACACACACACACACACTGCTAATGTTGATGAATTTACAGAGCAAGTTTATCCTACTGCTTAGATGTTCATGTTTAGTTAAGTCTCTCCCAGTAGATGGTGTAAATACTACCACTGCCTTGAACACAGCTCGCGAATAGCCTTAATACATTCAAAGCCACTGAGACACACACACACACACACATACACACACACACACACACACACACACAAGTAAGGGTCCATTTCTTCCTCTATTTCCTTCAGTAAAACCCACTGTCGATGTCATTAGTCTAAGATTAAATATCAATATTACTAAAACAAATGAAGTCTCTTGTTGACATCACATTCTTAGCATTACAAAGACATCATCTAAATAAGTATAGGCTCTAACTGTCGTGTTGGCCCACCTCTTTATAGCGGGTTACCATTTACAGCAGCCATGACCGCTCTAGGAATATCTATTTCTCATACCACTGTTTCTGTTGTCATTGTAAATATGAGTATCAATTTGTGGTCTTTTTTTCTATCCTTATTCTCGTCACTCTATATTCTCTTCTTTGGTTATCGTTCATCATCATCCACTTCTCCGCTGTGACATTCCTAGTCCTCTCACGTCTTCCCATCCACATACACACTATAGTAACTCAAGTGTTTACCATATACTCAGGTTAAGAATATTTGTACCGTGGTTATCTAAGGAGTGGTAAGCAACCCTGGCTCTTAAGATATTATAGTTATGTTGTTCTCTAGAGGTACTGTACGTGGTCATGTGTACCTAAACCTAACCTAAACCTAACCTAAACCTAATTCGCCACTATGTTCGGTAAAATTGGAATGTAAGTTGAGAGAAACTAATAGACGCTAAGGGACACTGGAAGATGCTATAAGTTGTTAAGGGACGCCGCTAGAAAGCCAAGAGACGCTCAAGGACGATGGGAGGTAAGCGTCTTGAGCGAGCACCGTCCATCTAAAACACGCCCCCACCACACACACACTGACCTGAATAACAACAAGGTTAGGTTAGGTTAGGTTAGGTTAGGTCAGGTTTCTGTGGCATACTACCCTGTCTGTCATCTTCTACCGTCTCTCTCTCTCTCTCTCTCTCTCTCTCTCTCTCTCTCTCTCTCTCTCTCTCTCTCTCTCTCTCTCTCTCTCTCTCTCTCTCTCTCTCTCTCTCTCTCTCTCTCTCTCTCTCTCTCTTCGTGCAGTACATTCTCTCAAGGTGTCAGGATCACACCACACCCAGACTCGTTTCAATGGTCACTTTGCTCTCCTTCCTCTCCCGTGTGCTAGAAAACTTGGTCTCTGCTGGGTTCTTTCCACGTTAGAAGACACCCGATATCCGACACGCCTTCCCCTTGTTAGCCCCACGCCTGACACGCCCGCACCACGCCTGACACGCCCGCACCACGCCCGACACGCCCGCACCGCCCGCCCATTACGCCCGACCCTGTCCACCTCACGTTCTTTCCGCTTGGCCTTAAATTCTCTCCGTCTATTCTCATCCACCTCCTTCAGTGTCCGACGCGATCCATCTCCTCTGCGTCTGCCACCCACGTCTGTCTGCCCCACGTCTGCCACACCCCCGTCTGCACCCCGTCTGCCCACACCCCACGTCTGTCACACCCCATCTGCCACACCCCACGTCTGCCTCTCCCCCACGTCTACAGCCCTAACTCTCCTCCTCCAACTCTGCCCCTCCCCACCGCTGCTCCTCTCCTCACCACTACTTCTCTCCACCGCTGCTCCTCTCCCACCGCTACTCCTCCCCACCGCTGCTCCTCCCCACCACTGCTCCTCCCCCCACCGCTGCTCCTCCCCACACTATTCCTCCCCGGCCCCAGCTCCCCAACGTCCGCCACGCCCTGCCGCTCTGAGTAGCAGAATTCCCACGTCATTCAACCTGGCATGGGCAATTTGTCCCTTGTGATGGTGAATATAGTCATCGGACGTGACCCGCCTCCCTCCCTCCTCCCTCCTCCCCTCTCTACCTCCCTCTCTCTACCTCCCTCTCTTCCTCCCTCCCTATATTTGCTCTCTCTCTCTCTCTCTCTCTCTCTCTCTCCCTCTACTCTCTCTCTCTCTCTCTCTCTCTCTCTCTCTCTCTCTCTCTCTCACTTTTACGCACACAGATAGATAGATAGGTATACTGTGACCACAGAATTATAAGATACACACACACACGCACACACACACACAGACACACACACACACACACACACACACACACACACACACACACACACACAGTAGCAAGATAAGCAGCCCAGTGTTATACATAAATAATAATCACATATTTCAGGTGACCCAGAAGCTCTCTCTGGGCGGCTGTACACCTTGAATTAATATATGTACCTGCCCATACACCTACTCATTACCACTACACATACCTGGCCCCGTCACCAAAACACCTTGACATTCCACTGAAAACAACCTTCTCTAATCTTCAGGGGGTTAAGTCATCGTCTTCAAAGGTTAAGTCATCGTCTTCAAAGGTTAAGTCATCGTCTTCAAAGGTTAAGTCATCGTCTTCAAAGGTTAAGTCATCGTCTTCAAAGGTTAAGTCATCGTCTTCAAAGGTTAAGTCATCGTTTTTAAAGGTTAAGTCATCGTCTTCAAAGGTTAAGTCATCGTCTTCAAAGGTTAAGTCATCGTCTTCAAGGGTTAAGTCATCGTCTTCAAAGGTTAAGTCATCGTCTTCAAAGGTTAAGTCATCGTCTTCAAATGTTAAGTCATCGTCTTCAAAGGTTAAGTCATCGTCTTCAAATGTTAAGTCATCGTCTTCAAAGGTTAAGTCATCGTCTTCAAAGGTTAAGTCATCGTCTTTAAAGGTTAAGTCATCGTCTTCAAAGGTTAAGTCATCGTCTTCAAAGGTTAAGTCATCGTCTTTAAAGGTTAAGTCATCGTCTTCAAATGTTAAGTCATCGTCTTCAAAGGGTTAAGTCATCGTGCTCAAAGGGTTAAGTCACCGTCTTCAAAGGTTAAGTCATCGTCTTCAAAGGTTAAGTCATCGTCTTCAAAGGTTAAGTCATCGTCTTCAAAGGTTAAGTCATCGTCTTCAAGGGTTAAGTCATCGTCTTCAAATGTTAAGTCATCGTCTTCAAAGGGTTAGTCATCGTCTTCAAAGGGTTAAGTCATTGTCCTCAAAAGGTTAAGTCATCGTCTTCAAAGGTTAATGTAATGAGACAAAATCTCACATGAAGAGGTAAGTTAGGAGTTTATAGTAGTAGAGTATTATAGCGAGAGGAAATGGTAGCGCGTCTCGAGGGTGTGATGTCAACACTGTATATTAACACAGGCACAGTACAAGTGTAGTATATAAAACACCAATGTCTGTTACAGCTTTATTTTACTAGTTCAATAGGGGGGATTAATAGGGGGGGTTCGTACACAATTTATGATAGACTATGGTATTCTCGTATAACCTAACCTCACAATTAGAATGGGCACTTCACTAAGTCGATCGTTGGGGAGGTTCGGGATCACTGCACTTCTACAGTCTACACAGCCAGCACTTACTGTTACACGTGGAGTTGACAGCACTTTGTCGATGGACCCGGGCTGAGACTTCGTTACACTTAATGGCGGTCTTCTCTCGAGCGGGACTCGGGGACCTGGTAGCTGGCCCTTCCTGGTTACAGACACTCTCTCCCCGTGAGAGGGGAGCTCCAGCCCCTATATATTGGTCGAGCCGGGGGGTGACCTCTCCTACTGAACTGCGTGTGTCTTGACCGGGTTGTTGGGTCAACAGGAGTGCTGGCTAATTAGCGGGTCCTTGAATTACTAAGGTCATGACGCCGGGTAGAGCTGATCGAGTGGTGGTGAGAATTCTGGTTCCCTAGTGTCAGGTCTGGGCGGCTGTGTACAGGTGTCGTCCTGCCCAGGTGTCTTGGTTAGGTGCGGTTTGTAGGTCACCCGGCTAACTCAAGTCATTAGCGGACGAGGTCAAGTCCCTAGGGTCGACCTGAGGTGTGTCAACCCGGGATGTGGTGGTGCCACGAGGTCTGTAGTGCTTGCTGTTACATGTGACATAATTCTGGGCTGTAAGGTTTGGTCTGACAATCACTCATTACATTAAGTCATCGTCTTCAAAGGTTAAGTCATCGTCTTCAAAGGTTAAGTCATCGTCTTTAAAGGTTAAGTCATCGTCTTCAAATGTTAAGTCATCGTCTTCAAAGGGGTAAGTCATCGTGCTCAAAGGGTTAAGTCATCGTCTTCAAAGGTTAAGTCATCGTCTTCAAATGTTAAGTCATCGTCTTCAAAGGTTAAGTCATCGTCTTCAAAGGTTAAGTCATCGTCTTCAAATGTTAAGTCATCGTCTTCAAAGGTTAAGTCATCGTCTTCAAAGGTTAAGTCATCGTCTTTAAAGGTTAGTCATAAATGTTCAAATGTTAAGTCATCGTCTTCAAAGGGTTTAAGTCATCGTGCTCAAAGGGTTAAGTCATCGTCTTCAAAGGTTAAGTCATTGTCTTCAAAGGTTAAGTCATGTTCAAAGGTTGTCATCGTCTTCAAAGGTTATCCATCATCTTGAAGGGTTAAGTCATCGTCTTCAAATGTTAAGTCATCGTCTTCAAAGGGTTAGTCATCGTCTTCAAAGGGTAAGAGTCATTGTCCTCAAAGGTTAAGCACCGTCTTCAAAGGTTAAGTCATCGTCTTCAAAGGTTAAGTCATCGTCTTCAAAGGTTAAGTCATCGTCTTCAAAGGTTAAGTCATCGTCTTTAAAGGTTAAGTCATCGTCTTCAAATGTTAAGTCATCGTCTTCAAAGGTTAAGTCATCGTCTTCAAATGTTAAGTCATCGTCTTCAAAGGTTAAGTCATCGTCTTCAAAGGTTAAGTCAACGTCTTCAAAGGGTTAAGTTA